TAATAATATGCTTACTCATTTCTATATTTTAAATAATAATGCTTAACTATTAAGAAGCTATGACCTTGCACGTTTATAGAAATAATTGTGTGCAGAAAAAATAACAAAAATATTGAAATTAAATTAATATTTGAAGACAACAAAATGTTTGACATAATTTAAATGTTTATTATTCCTTATAAAAAGTTCTTTAAAAATATTGAATATCTTCTAATATTTTAGAATAGATTGTAAAAATAATAAGAAATGCTAGTACAAAATAATACACCAGAAAATACAATCAAGAAAAAACTACTATTCTGAGATATATTATTAAGAATATCCAAGCACATTCACTAGAAAATTCGTGCATGAAGTGCCAATATCCAGCCATACCTTTAGAAATTAACAGAGCAACTTTATAATAAATTAAAAATGAAAAGTGAAAGTATGTAATTAAAAGTGTTTCAAATACCAATTTTATGCTTGTGTTATTTGTTAATGTTTTTTATGTTGTCAATTTTAAATATATAGGAATGAAAGTTCTTATTGTAAATATACAAAATTTGTTCAATTATTGGATTTATGAACTTTTTTTTGACTATTCTGTCTTACTAAACAATAATAATATTTCTTGAAACAATTAAGCTTACAGAAAAAAAAGAAAATATAATCATGACCAACAGTTTTATTAAATATCCCTTCCAAATATTATATTATATTAAGAAGTATAAATTTTTGTTCATGACAAAAAATTTAATAACATTTTATTAAATTTATCCGAAATTTATGGCTTTTTTAGATAAACAATACACTTTTCTAGCTGTTGACTGTTAACCATAGTTCATATATATAGATGTAGTTGATTACATTACCCATATAAGTATAAATCTTTTGTTAAACTGTGAAACATCAGTTATTAAATGACTCTTAATCTAATAAATTTGATTCAGAATTTTGACAGTATAAAAAATATAGGATTAACAACAAATGTCTTTAGGTAGCTGAATTTCTCTCTCTCTCTCTATTAGTACGAATATATTCCAGGGATGTAATAAATTTATGAGTTATTACATAAATTAAAGCAATTCACAATTTCAAAGATGTTTTTTTTAATTTATTTTATAAATACAAACGATTTCTTTTGTTTTGATAGTATTTAAATTAATATAAAAACATGCGTAAAAGAAGAAACTGGTTTGTTTGTGTTAGGTTATTCACCTAAGTAGAGATCACTATTTTGACGGAATCTATCTGATTCTGAAGTAATTTGATAGATTATTATGCTGTAACTGAGTAAACAGAATCATATAAGTAAAATAATTTAAATGTTTTGTTTTTGGAATATGGAAGTTGTTTCATAAAATGATCCTTATTGTTATTAAAGTGATTCCTGGTGATTTATTAATAGCTTTTTGAATCATTAATTAATCATAATAACTAATAAAAAAATAATTGAAAAATCTAATCTTAACATAGTTTGGTACAGTTTTATGATAAAAAAAATTGTCTAATTATTTAATAATTACTATAATGCAAATTTCAAATATTTATCTGCACTTCTATATGTTTTGACTTTATTGAAAGATGAATAAATATTCATAATTTTTGTTGAAATATTGAAGTGGTTATAATCGATTGTATAAGATTTATTTATGCTTATTTTATTTTACTTGCGACTTGGGTATTATGTAAAACTGGTTTAGAGCGTTTGTTGGGTCATCCATACTGTTTAGTAGGTTAATAGTTTTTGTTGGACCCAATAAATATACAATATTTTACTCTCGCTTTTCATTCGGTTCTCGCTTTCTTCTGTCTGCAATCGAACACAGTTTTTCAACGGCGCTAATAATTTATTCGCAGGCAAGAAGTTTAAATACAAAGTTTTATAAGTGGAAGCATTTACAAAGTTTATATAAACTGGTGATAGGCAACCAAACAAACATGGGAATAGTTATAAAAAAATATGACATAAGAAAAGTAATATAGTTTAAATTACTTTTCTTATGAATTCTATTTGTAATCGTTTATACTATTTTATGATTTATTATCAATTGTTAAACGATATTTAGAAATCACTATAAATTAATTAAATCTCAAAACACTAAAATTTCATTTTTATATCACAAATTTGGGACCATATTTCTTAAATTGAAATCTTAATAAATTTTGATTATTTTCGTAGTTGGAATTGTCCATAATAATTATTCAGATTCATTTTTAGACATTATTTAAAGTTAGTGGTACATGCAAGAGTTGGTTGATTTAAATATACTTTTTCATATAATTGTGACATAATTTTAGCATTTAGCATTAAATATACAATAATATTGTTCTACCTTTTATTTATAGGTAATCAAAATAAAGACTACCCAAAATGTATAAAAAGAATAAAATTTAAACTATTTTATTATTATTTGTTTTTTCTGTACCATTATGATTTAAAGGCCAAAATGACTTTTTAATTGTTCAGTGATTGTTTCTTTCTATAAACTTAGTGATAAGTTATATACTATGATTAATAAATATGATGTTAACATTATTTTTTAAAAGACATATTATAAAAAAAATTTATTGAATTACCTTAAAAATATATTATTTACAATAAAAAATACATTTTAGCTGATATTTAAGTAAGTGTTAGGTTGGTATTTCGTTTTAACGTGAAAAAATATTTAAAATTTGTATATACCATTTCTAAAAAACCTTTGTTTAGTTTTTTTTTATGAAATTCAGTACTCTACCTAATTCATGTGCCATCTGGTTTTGAAATTACATAGACATCATTTCGTGCAACATTATATGCAGTAAACAAGATTGCGCAAACAATTAGTGCATGCATGTAGGTGCATTAAACAATGGAATTAATCGAAGGTACGTCCTACAAAACGTTGCCAAATGCATTTCGATTTACTCGTACCATCAATATCAATCGGATAACCTTTATTTTTACATTACCATTTCCAGATTGTGTCATCGTCATATGCATCAGTGAGAAAGAGTAATTTTAATGGTTGATGTCCACAAAGGATTTGTTTTTATTCCGTCAGTGAAATGCATGTAGCGTGAACCGCAGGACTTTTGTTCGTCGGTTTCTTTTGAATAGTTCGGTGGTCTAATTATTACCATTATCGGTATTGTTGGTAGCGGCATTTTTTGTTCATGTTTTTTGATACTTTGTTGGAAGACATTGCAACATCTGGTTTCTTTTAATAGGCCTGAGGTCTTTAAACTTTGCTGGTAGCGTATGCAACGATTCCATCATTAGTTTTCATAAAAATGGGGATTGGAACGTGAAAATTACAACATGCACATTTTTTTTGATATATTTAAATATGGTTTACTGCTAATTATTTTTTCGTTGATCTAAATAATGTCTATAAAAGTTTTGACAACTATTTGTGATAAATTTTCTTACAACTTAATAAATAAAGTATTAAAGGACTATTTACATTTTAACGCTAAAATGACATTAAATAACTATTTTTTGTTGATCGAAAACTATGAATATTATAAATAATTTCGTCTCAATCAATTTGTTTCAAGTATTATAAAAAATATATTTTAACGTGTAAAATTTCCATTCTACATTATTTATATAAAGTCAACCCTCCTATCAACCTTTCCTATAATAGTAAAAATAATTTTAATTCGTACCGGGAAACTGCAATAAAATATTTGTGCTTGATATTTTTTGATATTTTGATTATGTTAATATGCGTATTCCAAATATAGATTTGGAGATTTTTTCACATATGATAATTTTCACTACCCTTTAAACGATTTAAAATTTGTATTTCTATCTCAAGAGAAATAAACTTTGTTTTTAATTAATTTATTTTATTTTTCATTTATTTCATATATTAATTATTAATAAAGTAAAATTTATTAAATAATTATTATGGTGTGTATGTGTGTGTATATAAATTTGTATGAATCAAAATTGTAAAATTGGATTAACGTTATAATTTTCAAAATTTACTATGAATTTAAACTTACATTTATTTAAACAATTATAATAGTTACTTACTAAATCTTATAGGTTATTTTCCATCGAGCATCTTATTAAATTGATTTAACAACATAACAACAAATGATACCACAAAATATTACATTTTAAACAGTCGTAAAAATATATTTATTATCATCATAAATACATATACAAAATATTGCTACTGATCACAGGTCTTTCTGTACTATTGAAACAATTATAGTTAAATTATTTACAATAATGGTTCAATTGCTGCTTTAACTTACTTAATAGTGTAGGTTGAAAAGCATTAATCCATTTCATAGAATATTGCACAAGCAGACCTACCTAATTCTGTTGAATTGATCTGCGCTGTTGATATTTTTTTAAGTATTATTTTATTATTCAATTGTTTAAATTTTCTTGAACAACTAACTTATAATTTTTTTTTCTACATTGAAAGTTTTGTTTTAAAGATCAATTCATTTTTATTATTTATTTGTCACTAACACAAATTTATAAAAACTATATTGACCAATATCAGTTGATTATGAGGTTACAAATAAATTCCAATATGTTGATGTTTATATAAATAGATAATTTGTTACTAACTTTGCATTTATTGATTTCGCTTAAAGTAGATGACACATTTAAGGCATGAAAGTGATTAACATTGAGAAACATTTTTTTGTTAAATAGTATTATCTCAAATTATAAATAATAAATAGAATGATCTTTAAATTAAAATAACACTATTGATACATTAATTGTATTATTATTTTTTTAATATTTATATATTTTGTTATTTTATATGTAAAAAAATCATCTAATAATATGAAAATAATAATAGTAAGTCCTAGATAGAAATTGCTGGAAAGTGTTTGAAAATAATTCAGTACTATTATTGTATATACTTTATTTGAGCAATTAAACGTTTTATTTGCAAACATGTTATTTCATAAAGTTGTTAAGTATTCGATTACTACATCAATAATGCGGAATTTGCTTCAAAATATTTTTCATGCATAAATAATTTTAGAAGTCTCTACCGTATTACGCTTATGAAACCTTGAACTTATTCACAGAACATTGTTGTTTGCCAAGCCCTTAAATTTGTATACAACATGTCTTGACATCTCACTTTATACAAATAATGCATATTTTGAATTGTAACTTTCTCGGACATTGTTATGTTTTATATTTGCGGTTTCAAAGAATTTTTTTTTTCTCAAAAATGTATTTTGTTTTGTATAAATTATAGAAATAAGTATCGAAAAACATGTATCTCTTCTTATATATATTATGTTACTCTCACACGCTACATATGTACAGTCTCTCCTCTATATAACATAAATATACATACAAAAAAATTCTAAATGCTAGAAACAAATACAAAGAGGAAATAAATGACTTAGGAATAGGATCTAGCTAATATGTTATTGCATTTTATATATACTTTTTTTCCGAAAACCGTTGAATTTAAATGGAGTTTATAGATTTTTAAAGAGTTTAGAATTTCAATCACAATTAATTAGAAACTAACAGTTCGAGAGTATTTAGTAGTAGCCGAAGCTAATGTCGTGGAGAGCAGCGGCACCACCTTGTGGAAGAGCGTAGTCTTTAGCGAGTTGGTCCAAAACACCACCAACTTGACGGTTTGGAGATGCTACTGGTCTTGGAGCAGAGTATTGTGGCCTGGGAGCAGCTGGGGCAGGAGCTGGAGCGGAGTACTGTGGCCTGGAGATGGCTTGAGTGGCGGCTGGTGCTGGGGCGAATTGTTGTGGGGTGTATTGTGGCCTTGGTTGTGGGGCTGGTTGAGCGTAGGTGATCTTAGGGAGTGGCCTTGGAGATGGAGCATCGTAGTTGTCTTCCTCGATTGGGGCTGGGCTAGCGAAAGAGAAGGATTGTTGAACCGGACGTGGAGCTGGACGAGGAGCTGGAGCTGGTGCGAAAGCCCTGGTTGGAGCTGGACGTGGTTGGGAGAATTCGAAGTTGGCCTGTGGGACTTGCCTGGCTGGAGCTGGGGCTGGTTTGTATTGTGGAGCTTGGGCTTGGAATGAGTCGAAGGATGGACGTGGGGCTGGGGCACGTTGACGAGCGGGTTGAGGTTGGTTGTACTCGTCTTGGATGAGTCCGTCCTTGGTGGTCTCGTCCACAAGGGTTGGTGGAGCGACGGTGATTCCTTCGCCGGATGGTTCAAAGCCGTATTTGGTGGCTCCGTATTCAACAACACGAACCTTTCCGGTGTCATCAATGTAACCATATTTGCCTTTCACATCTCCGGATGGAAGCTTAGTTTCAATCTTGAAAGAACCATCAGCACCTTCGTATCCGTAAGTATAGGAACCATCTTCGTTGTGCCTAGAAAACGTTAATCAAGAAATTAAAATAAATTCAAAGTGATGTGCATTTATTGATAATTACCTGTTGATTTGCTTCAGGATTGGGACTGGGGTTGGCTTCGGTTGGGCAGCACCGGAGAATCCACTTTGGATCCTGGATGGAGCTGGTCTGGCGCCAGTCTGGTACTCATACTCTTGGCCATAGGCCAAAGCCAACAAAGCAAAAACAGCGACCTGTAAGGAAAACATAATAGTTAGTACTAACGTAATGCAGCAATGTAATCACAATCAATTGTGTTTAGACCGCGCCCCTGGTTTTAGCAATTCAAAATGTTAATGCTAGACTGCACACTTTCTAATCACACAAGCAAAAATCCATAATTTTGGACTACACGACCGGACAACTTTCTGGGCCAAATTTTCACCTGTCTTACGCAACGGTCGCTTTCTTGCTTCCTGCTATAATACTTTTAAAATGTTATTTTGTCGTCATTTATATAACGGAATGTCAACTTAATTGGGAAAAGTACACGAATGCATTCACGAGACTGCAGCAAGGAAGTGGCCTTCAGAGGCAACTTTTCAGATAAATGTATATCGGACTCCACCCAGAAATTTCAATGCCAAATTGGTGCAAGACTTGATCGAATCGTTCAATTAGCATTTACTACATCGGATTTAATATTGTTGACGTCGAGGAAACCGAGGATTTTATTCAAATCAGTCGAACACTTAACATTTTCAAATGCGCAATCGTGGAAGGCCGTTCATCATCTAATAGTCCTCTCGCTTTTCAGAAGTAGCACTTTGATAATTACAGTATACCCAAAGGTCCTTTTCAATTTTATTTTTTTTTTGTTGTTGTTATTTTCTTATCAGTTAATTTATTAGATTTGAAGGTTACTTACGTATCTGAAAGGTAACATGTTGTTGTATTTTGGTGTGAGCACACTGCACTGAAGTGGTGCGGGGGAGAGTCTGGTGCTTTTATAAGTAGTGACCGAATTGTAGTTGGTTCTTGGTGGGGCAGTCTCTTGGTGTTCTTGTAGCTTGGGCCCCGCAAGGTCCCGGATTCGAATCCCGCTCCGAAGACTTGATCCTTTCACCGTACACATACATGCACACATATGATCGTATACACATTCGTATACAAGACACGGCGAGATAAAACACCTCGGACACAGACGAAGAAGAAAAAGAAGAAAGGAACGACAAAAAAGAAATGAGACTGCGATATTTTTACACCGGATTGTCATATAACAAAAATTTCAATACGTTACTTAATGTGAGACTGAATTAGGAAAAGGAGATCGGTGAATTGTTATGTAAAAGTTCTAATGACTCGGAGGTATACATCTAGTATTTCCGTTATGTGAATTGTGACGACAAAACAAAAAGGAAGGAAAAGCGCAGCCGAACCTGAGAAGAATTAATTGGATTAGAATTACGTTCGGTTTTTCTGAATGTCGACTAAAAAGTATATGGTGCAATCCTCAGTGCTGCACATAAAAGAGAGCATTAATGTTTGGAAAGAGTTCATATGTTAAAAAAAAACTAACGACCGAATCAGAAAAATAAAATTAAACCATATTCCAATATTCGGACAAAACTACATTCGTAAGAATTTTATTATTTGTCTGACCTATTTCACAATTATTTTTATATCGACAAGTTTTTTTTATATAAAATTCGAACTATTTCAAGAGAAAATAGTTTTAATCTTAAAACTATATATTATGTTTTATTTGTTGAATATACATGTTTTAATTTAGTATTTGCAGGAAATGTTTTTGTTTTGAGAAACATTAAAAAATAAATTGAGACAAATATATAATAATTACTTCAAGAGGATTAGTTATATTTATATTATAAGTATATTTATATTTTTTTTTTCAGTATCAATGAAGCTTTACATTTGTTATATTTTATTTTCTATCAAAATTTAACAAATTTACTTAAGAAATGTGTAGTATTTATAATCAAAATATATTGAAATTTTATTGACACGTATTTTAAGTTAATTTTGTTATCATTTTAATTAAAATTATATTATTTTCTCATTTAAGATAGATTATTTGCTTGAAACATTACTTATAAATTTGAAACATTTTTATAGTAAATTAATTTACTATTTGTTTATGAATAAATGTTAAAAAAAGTATAAGTTAATTCATAAACATATTCAGAAATAATTTTAAAACAAACATATAATTAATATTGCATTTAAATTATGTTTTCAATATTATATTAATATTCAATACAAAATATAATTTAAGGTACTTAATAGCAAAATTTAACCACATTTTAGAAAGTGATTAAGTTTATTATATAAAGAAATAATTTGCGACATACATATTACAAATAAGTACTTTACGCATACTCACGTTCTGCTTTCTTTTAATCAATTACTCAGGAACTTGACACTTATCTCATTCTAGAATCTAGATCAATATTATCTAGAATCTGACACTAGATTTTATGTTGTTTGTGAGTTCTATTGTATTAATTTGGTCAATAACAAAACTTCTATTGTAATCAACGGGAAAATAATACAATGAGTACAAAATCATATGTACTCATCAAATTGAGGATACCTCCGAGATATAAACTGGTATTTTACTTTATAAATGTTTCTGTCTATTGTCATTGTTTAAACAATGTTGTATTTCATAACTGTGTTCAAACGGGTTAAGTTGTGATATAAAATTACTTTCATTTGTATATAAAAAAGCTTGTTACATTTTTTATTTTACAAAGTGAAATAATTCGGAAATTTACTGTTTTTGCTATTTAATTAATAAACATTTTCTTTCATATGTTTTATTTTGATTCAGAAGAACTTCTTAATAAACGTACATTATAAAAAGGAAAATTTGATAAATTATTATTTCACAGACAGAAAGACGTATAGCCTTTTGCAGCAGTTGAATTTTATTATTGTATTATTGTATTCAGTTTTTTTTTTAATTTTATAATTTATTGATGCAATAAATATTATTAGTATTATCTCAGGTATAAATTTGTTAAAAATCTTTTAAACATATTTCTAAGCTGTCCATTTCAACTCATCCATTCGCTTGCACTATCCTAAAGCTTGTATGTAAATAGCATTGACCTTATTGACGTATACTTGCTGAATACTCTTTACAATTTGCAAGGTTAATTTGTTGAAGAAATAATTTGTTTTGCTTAATACGCTTATAATTTCAAATTACTATATATTAATGTATATTATACGATACAAGTCAATGAAAGGTACATATATTTTCTTATTAACATGGAAGTACATAACAACAATAACATTACCATTTCGAAACTAGTTTGTATGTTGGGTTGCCCATGTATTGATAACATTTTTTTTTCTTATACAAATTATTAGTTTTTTAGATTGATTGTTTTTTTTATAATTTTGTTTTAAAAAAAATATTATTTATTTTAATAAATTAAATAAACAAATTAAATACCCAAAATACGAAGTTTTTAAAAGTTAAGCAATATGTGTTTGACATAGACTTAGGTGACAGTTATTTTCATCAACTCAGTATAAATGTAATAATATTTTTGTATAAAGTATACGATTTGCTATATTGTAAAATACAATGCATATACTGATAATCCACAAAATTGTGACAATATATAAAATCGTATTCGAGGACTATACCTTATATATTATACTACATTTTCTTAAAGTTCGAAATGAACTGCGGTACAAGGTTTTAATTTCTCAAATATGAGTAAATGAAATGTAAATTCTGTTCTAAATAATTTATGCTCAATAAACTGAATCGAATTTAAGTAATTTTTATTTATGTATTTATAATAAATTGAATCTTTCTTTGAAATTAGCAACCTTTAAAGTTTACCGATTCTCTATCGAATAATAATGAATTGCATATAATAAACATACAGTACTTGATTTTCGAATATATTTTGCACACACATCGATGACGTTCCATTGATGCGGTTAAATAGCACATGGAAATGTTGCTATTGCATCCTACTGCAAGAACGTTCTGCAATATTTTCAAAACACATAACGTGATCAGCCTAAGGCATACGAATACATGAACGAACAGCCTTGACAGTAACACCTTAGCAATCTAAAATTAATTAAAGTTTTTTTTGTGCATATGATTGATTATTGCAATTATATATATTGTTAAATTTCAGTTATTTCCTGGCCACAAAATAATCATATAACCTAATCCTGTTTCTTTATATTTGCAGAAACAATTAATTTTATTATTAAAAAATAGTTTATTTTGTTTCTTTCCTCATCAGTTGATATGTATGTTCCAGTGTGAATGCTCTTTAAATTAGTTTATTTTTAAAATTGTTAATTAATTGGAATTTTTCAAATAATTATATTACTGTTTGGACTAATTATAAAGCCGATTCGGATATTGAACAGCTGGTTTAAATATTTCAATACGATTTCGACAAAATTCATTTACATAATTGCTTTTAATTTTCACGAAGGAATAAAAAAACAAAAATAGGAACGTGTAGCCGTAGCACATTATTTTGGACACGCATGACAGTCTAATACCTTTTCGTTTCTTTTTTGTCTTCCTCCTCATTTTATTTTTATGGGTGTATCTATTGCACATTTATAAAAAAAAATATATTAAAGAGAACATTTTTACGTAAAACCATAGTTTTATTATATTTTTATACTTTTGGGTATTTTGATATATATCTTTTTACATAATGTTTTGTGTAAGGCTGAGCGCGTAAAGTGATCTTGATATGAAATATCCTTTGTACTCGGACTTTCGTTAATATTGCGTTCAATTCGATCTTAATGTATCGATAAATCTTCAAGGGCTTTTGTGTGCGGATTGCGAGGAGGAAGAAGTTTCTGTTTTTATTGCGGAATGTCTGCTGCGTCTGTCCTGCAAGGCTGTTACGATTTTATTTCATTTTATTATCGAGTTTATTTCCTCCATAAATGTGTTTTTTATTGGTAATCCAATGCAGATTTAGATGCACATTTTTCTAACGACGATAATTTCTTCCGCGGCATTCTACATCCCAGAATGAATGAATTTTAAATCAATAATTTGGTTCGTTTTGTTTAAAGGATTCTTACAGCCGTTATTGAATGTCAAAGTTGATTGTCTGCTTCCATGAACCGGAACTGCCCTTGGATTTGAATGACTGACCTTTATTTTCTAAAAGTGAGCTGCAAAATAATCAACGGTCTTTCAAACATATTTCTGCATGACTCAATGTATGATGGTGCTACATTCATAAATCTGACATCTATTGTAAAAAAAATCTATATCTGCATACAGAAATTTCAACAATAAAATAAATATTACAACATAATTATTGAAATCAATGTAAAATGTAATTAAAAAGTGATTTTTTTTAAATATAAAAATTATCATCAAGAAAGTAAATAATAGGAAAGTTTGTTAATTTTATTACTAATAATATTTTGAATTGTTATCTTAACTATTTCATAGTGATGCATCTTCGATTGAAAAGATTTATAAATGGTAGCGCCTGGTAGCACTGAATGACACAAAACAAAAATAAATTTTGTAAACACATATTACAGATATTCTTTAATTATTTTTTATTATTTTATATAAAAATATAATTAATGGAGATGTTAGAATATGAAAAAGAACATCCCTCAAATGACCACCATTTTCCTGCTCACAAATACAGGTTCTTTTCATAGCATTTTCACTATGACCGTGTGCAAGGTTTCAGGTCGTAAACGTAGGATTTTGGCAGATTGTTTTTGATTTCTTGAATTTTTTGAGGTTTATATTATATTATATAAAAACTCGTGCTTTCAAGAAACACTGGATATTAAAAAAATCAATATTTGTCCCCCAGCATGGCCACGCTGATTTCTATTTTCATAGAAATAAGGGTTGATAACTCTTTCAGCTATAACACAGCACCAAACAGTGCAATTTAGGAAATGTTTCATATTGATGGGATTTTCAGTACTCAATAATTATATTAATTCTGAGTTTTAATAGTTAATCTTTTACTGGAATAGAAAAAAAAACAATAATCCACGGAATGCTTTTTAACTTCTAAAAAAGATTGAAAATGAAAAAGTCATGACTTTTTTAAACTCTTCGGTCTTTCAGGCGCCGCACGTTATAACTTGGATATATTTCATATCCATTCCCATTTTATATTTACTTCATA